ACTAAAAGTGTCATTATTTATTAAACAGGTGCAGGAAGCTGCTACTGCATGTATTATTAATGCCAGTGTAAAGTCATGATAAAGACTGCAAAGGTTTGTAAATGGCAGTCATAGTAATTAAAATAAGATTGTCTTAAATTTAGGTAATGTAACTTTAGACAAACTATAAAACATAACATATTACACTGCGAGTGAACAGTGCACCCTTAGCGCTTACAGAGAAATTAAAAGGATAAGTAGCAGCCAAGTGCTACTAATCAAATTCACTGTACTGACTGATCATCAGCAAGTGTGAGCACCATCATTAAAGCAGAGGTTTTGGCAGTTTGCTGGTCTGGAGCATTAAGGTGTGTGTCATCATAATGCCACAACCCTCACAGGAGTTAAGTGCCTCGGTTAGCATGTTAAATGTTAAAGTTCATGATGTTACAATTACAAAAAGACTAAACAAGTAGCCCTTTTTTTAAGTGCCGCCAGAAGAAAGCCTCTTCACTCTAAAAAGTACATGGCAGCAAAGCTTATGTTTGCAAAGTTGCATCTGAACAAACATCTAATACCAGCTGTCAAGCACAGCGGTGGAGGGGTGATGATTTGGGTTTCTTACAGCCACAGGACCTGGGACCTGCACTCTGAAGTGACATGAAGAGTGTGGTGCTGGCAGCAAAGCAGCTGATTTTACAAAGAAATTACACTATTGAAAAATATAAAGAGGTTAAACATAATACAGACAGCAATGAATACAGCAGTGTGTGAGCAAACACTGCAGCATGATGTAGTTTTAAAAATGTGCGCCTTAAGTGATTTGGTCATTAAGAGTGTTAATAAAGTTCAGCCTTTATGAAGTCTGGAATTAAAGCTGGTGAAAAGTTAACATACATTAATATCACAACTGATTGACAACAATCAAGTATTTTATTGAGTTAATGTTTAAAATACAGTTTAATTTTGTATTCTTTCAGCTGCAGCCTCAGGCGTTTTTAAGAGTGGGAATAAATATAAAATTATAATTCAATCAAAGGCTTTGTCTACATGCAAGTTTGATACAGTGTTAGCAAGTACAACCAGGCGTCCGGCTTAAGGATCATATATTAATGCTTCCAGAACAATAAAACTGTTGTAAAACTGTTTGCAGCCTAAAGAAAAAAAGAATAAAGTTGTGTCTAAGAATCTCCATATTATATTACTGAAGTTTGTAAGGGAAAGGCAAAGACATTAGACACTATTAAAAAAGTTTAAATGATGACACAGTGTAAGATATCATCTTTTTGTTTGAGGTTGTAATCATCTAATTTTAAGACTTGCTAAAAACCAAATGATTAATTTCTATGTCCTGATAGTAAACCTTATATTGTTTTTCAGATGATATGCTGTGTGTCACTGGAAAGAAAGAAATAAGTGAATTAGGTTCACATTGATCTATACTTATTGGAATTATTTTTAAGGAAGTCTGGGTTGTTTTAAAATGCTGGGTTTGAGATAGTATTTTGGATAGAGTTCAATGAGTTTTGACTGCTGTTTGGGATTAAGGTGAGCGGTTTGTGTTGTTTATGTGTAAATTGTTTATTTGAGTTGTGCAGATCTCTGTGGTAGAGCTGTAATACCATCTGGTGGGACTGGAGCCTGTTTTTGTGACAGCTTACATTTTAGAAGTCAAACTTCCTTTTTAGGATGTAAAAGTGTTTCCTCTCCAAGACTCAGTGATAGATATATATAGTTTTCCGTTTTGTTAATTTAGTGGTAGAGCATTAAAAAGCTCTTACTTTTATCACATCTTTAAAATGGCCTCTAATTGTGGCTAGTTAATAAATGATTCAAGTTAATATCCTTGGAGTAAAATAAATACAAAATAGTGCAACTTCAACTTGTTGGGCATTGATCGTTATGGTGTTGATGTAATGGTGTTGAAGACGTTAGTCAAAAGTGAAAATGATCCAAATTAGGGCTGCCACGATTAGTCGACTATCAAAATCGTCGATGACTGATTTAATAGTCGACGGCTCGTTTGAAGCTTAGATCACAAAAGACGCAGGAATAAGTAGTAGAATTTAAGATTGTAATAACGGACTGAAACAGAAGATGGCAGCACTGCATGTACAAGAATGCCAGCTGCCGTTAAACCCCAAAGAAGAAGTAGCTCTGTCCAGTGTTGCCAACTTAGCGTCTTTGTAACTCTCAACAAGCAGCGGGTGCTGTAACGCAGTCAGTTCTTCTTTTACTCTTATGCTGTTTTGTGGATCACAAGGTTTAAAACTACTTATAAACACACACACAAAGTAACTCCACCAGAGTGCCTATTTCGGGTCACTTTTGCAGGTCCAAGCCCGGATAAAGGAGCAGGGTTGGAATTGTGACATTAAAAAAAACAATAATTGCTAAAAGAAATTTAATTTGTAGTTCTAAATAAACTCTAAATGCATTTAGGACGTTTTTTACTCACTTTATGTCTCTTCCATGATGTTATTTCTCTCTCCAACAACATAGGTTACAATTACATTAGCATGACCAATTATGCTAATTGGTGATGATGTCATTTAGCGACTTTTAGGACAACCAATAGCGATTTTCCTTACTGAGGAGTTGGCAACACTGGCTCTGTCCCAGAATTCATAGCGCAGCCCAGCTCAGTTTCCAACAATGGCAGCAGCTAGTTAGTTTTAATATTACTCTTATTATTCTTTCTGGGTCACAAAATAAACGTTTAACATATTTTCAGGCGAGAATGTAGCTGTGTAAACCTCAAATATCTGCTCAGTTTATCAAGACACCACATATTTTCAAAAGCGCTCCGACGTTTTCGGAGACGTCTGTTACCCACCAGCTTGATAGCTAGCCGGGGGCAAGGCAGGGCTCACTAGAGCCGGTGAGAGCACCGGACTCCCGGCAAATCGTTTTCAAACCCACCACCGTCTTTCGCTACTCAGGTTAAACATGATATATAAGTCACTTAGATAACCGAAAAATGTTAATGTTTGGCTTTTTTTAGTATTTTATTTGTTCCTGAGTAAATCGGTTTGGCTGAGATTAAAGTTATAGTTTTTACACAGCTGAATAAACGTCAAGCAGACAACTGATTAGAAGTGTGAGATGCTCGAGAATATACTCCGGTGTCCCGTTATATTTTAGATAGCAAGGAGTTTATTAAACTTTACCGAAACAATCTGCAAATTTCATTAAAATTTAATAAACTAGCATCTTGTCCTTATTTTTAGTTAGCACAGACCTTAAACACTTAAAGCTTAAACACTAATGATAGTTATATAAGAGCAGATGCAGGCTGGTGCAATAAGCTGTACTTTTACATCCAAATGGATGTACGATCTGATAATCGGTGACTAGTCGACTATCAAAATAATCGTTTGTGGCAGCCCTAATCCAAATACAACTGAAACGCTGCAGTGGGACCTAGCTGTGAATGTGAATGCCCTCAAACCTCAGTGAACTGAAGCAACACTTGTCATGCAAATCAGTTCAGTTTTGTTTATACAGCGCCAAATCTAAACAGCAGGTGCTTCAAAGCGCTTTATAATGTAAGGTAAAGATCCTACAATAATAGAGATAAAACTCTAATCAAATAACCCCCTTTAAGCAATCACTAGGAGACTGTGGGAGGGAAAAACTCCCCTTTAACAGGAAGAAACCTCCAGCAGAACCAGGCTCAGGGAGGTGCAGCCATCTGCTGCGCCCTGTTGGGGGAAGACAGGGCAGAAAACACACTCCTTTAACTTATTGCTGCTAAACGTGGTTCTGAATTGCTCAGGATTTTCTATGAGTCTGTTGTGGCCAGTGCGATCCTCTATGCTGTTGCATGCTGGGGGAGCAGGCTGAGGGTAGCAGATGCCAACAGACTCAATAAACTGATTTGTAAGGCCAGTAATGTTGTGGGGATGGAACTGGACTCCCTCAAGGTGATGTCGGAGAGGCGGATGTTGTCCAAGATAAAGACAATGTTGGATAACACCTCTCACCCACTCCATGACATGCTGGTCAGTCACAGGAGCACGTTCAGTGAAAGACAGAGTACCAAAAAGCACCACTGAATGACACAGGAAATCATTCCTGCCTGTGGCCATCTCCCTGTACAACTCATCCACTTAACACACTGTTTACTGCAACAGCTACACCCTTTTTGCACATGTTCTTTTTCAGCTATTTATTAATAAGTGACTTTTATGTATATATATATATGCCTGTATCAATAAAGTATTCTGATTCTGAATCATGGGGTCTACTTCTGCTTCTGCATTTTAGCTCAGTTTTTTGTCAAATAAACAATGACACACTGTAATATGTCAAGTGCTGTTTGTATTTACTTAATTTTAAGATCAGATGAAAAAATCTGACAAAGGCTTCATTCACTGTTTTTACTGTGTCTCCATGATCTGCCTGACATTAAGCATTTCTTCACTCTGCTTTTTCTTGGTTACTTTAACAGATATGAGCTAAAATAAACCCTCTTTAGCAGTGTTAAATAAATGTGTAAATCCTCTCCAGTGAGAAGTTGTGCTTGTGTGCGTAACAGCAGCTGGTGAGAGTTCACAGGCCATGTTCATGTGTCCAGAACGTGATCTTGCTTGAAATGGATTCACTGCTGGCGTCGCTGCCGTCCGACACAGGCCTGATACTCAGGCGTTTTTATGCTTTATTCAATTTTAGTAGTTAAACATGTGACCATTTGGCTGAAATCTGAGCCTGCTGAAAAAAAACCTTACCTTTTCCTGAGCATACTGTACCACACCACGTGATCTAAATCCTCCTGCTGGGGTACAGCGTGTTTCTAGATTAAAGTTGAGGTGCCACAGAGGAGTTTATGAAACATTGTGCTCCTCCTCTGTGACATTGCTTAATAATAGTTGATGTATGAGGTCAGACATGGGTTTCCATTCACAGAAGTCGGCGCTGAAGTCTCCTTTTCAGCACTTGCAACCTTTGCAAACTTTAATCCAAGGCTAATGTTTAACAAAGAAAACCAAGTAGACAAAACGATGGACGGCAAGAGTGCATCCTTTCAAAAATGCTTTATTTATCTACTATATCACTATAAATATACCAATGCTGAACAAGGAAACGGGGCCTTCTGATAGAAAAGAGTCTGCATAGGTCTACAAAGGGCACATGTTGGCAATAAAGGCACACACTACGAAGAGTTAAAGATGCTAAACCCGAACATCTAAGTTAAACCAGGCACGCGCAGCTCCATACTGACACAGGAAGATCGTCCTGCTGCCGCTGCTGCATTGTGGGTGAAATGCAGGTGATGGAAAGTAAAGCAGGTGCTGTGAGTGGAAGGGAGAATGCAGTTTTCTGTTGTTAAAACCACGTGAAATTTTGGTGAAGGTTAAATCATTGCCCCATCCACCCATCATTAGATCTTTTAATTATTTAGCCAAAAAAAGTTGCAACACATTGAGCCGGAGGCGCCAATGGGTCGTAACGCCTCGGCGGGCCAGGTTTAACCTTTGATATCGATAACGGGGAGAACTTGGCGTTCCCACTCTAAACACCGCGTCCAGTTCCAAATAGCAAACACAACGTTACACCTAACAAAAGCACAATAACCTCCAATGTTTAACAAACTATTGGACACTTTGGGGGAAAAAAAGAATCTACTTTTGTTAGTCTGACTTTTATACCTAAACAAGGTGTAAATAAAGAAAACAAATAGGTTTTACAATATATTATGCCTTTTCTTCTCACTTCATAAACAACACACGTAATGCATATATTAAATATATCCCGACTTATTGTCATCGTACAAGATCATAATAAGAGCCGTTAACAGCAGTTTGTTTTCTACATTAAATCCAGTTTCAAAGGAGAGAGAGAAGCAGTAAAATGCAGAATACAGAGTGAGATTACACAACTATGGACTAGTTAAGCAGTCTTTTCACTCACACTCTTGGGCCTAAACTTAAAAGCCAGGGAGCCCTCATATTAGCAAATAAAATACCATCGAATGCGGTGAAGGAGAATAATAATAATACAAAAGAAAAAAGAGCTGGTTTACAAATCAAAGGACACTCAAATGTTTGGCATTTTTCATAAAGGATGGCTCTTGTGGAGTGTGACTTCATGATCAGCAGCTGTTTGAATTCGAGTGTTACAATACTTGCATATTCCAGTGGGATGTATTGCTCCCAGTTATTCCCAGTCCACAAGTACACTTGTGTAGATGCACTGCAAAGTTTTCAAAGCGCCCGCTGAGCATTGAGCAGCTGCAGGCTTTATATGAGAAGAAGCACAAACTTTGCTCCAGTTCACACGTTTGATATCTCTTCATCTGAAAGTGGCAACTTCTCGCCTTTTATAAATACATTTACGTGCACCTCGGAAGAGGATGGAGGCAACCTTGGCACATCTGGCTACAAAAGCTGAAACCTCAATACAGTAATACCACAAATCTGCATCATGGGATATACAAATTCTTCTTTGTGCCAAAACACGCGGGCTTGGTTTTCTTACAAAAAGGCACAGTGAAAAGCAGGCAGTTGCATAAACAGCGTGTAGGTGTAAGGCACTATAGTCAGGAGTCTTTCTAAAGTCCTCAGACTGAAGTGGATGTTAAGGTTTTTGGTCAGCACTGGCAAAAAGTACAAGCTGTTCAAGTGATAGAGTGCTCCAGTCCAGATAGAAAAATGTCTCTCATTTCTGTCCGTAGTTGTTCACAATTAAAAACATCAGAAAAAAACATACATAACTGAGTAAGAACAAAAAACAGCTAACATCTATTCAGTCTTAATCCCCTATTACCGCCGTTTCTTTAAATGTGGAACATTTTCCATGTCAGCTGAACATCATTCAAAAAGCTTTCCAGTTTTCTTTCTTAATTATTTGTTCCCAACAGGAATCTGTCAAAATAACAAATATTTAGCAGGCAACATTTCTTCAAAGAAAACCAACAAATGTGTTTCAATGTATCAAAGAGGAGACAGAGAAACAACCTTGCAAAGCAAAAAAAAGAGCAAAAATGAGCTAATTATAGGTAAATAAATGCAACCTAGAAAACCTAGAACCTTCATGTAAAACAACCAAAAACACAATAAAAACTACAATAACCAAAAAGTACCAAACAGGCGTGTTCAAAGCATTCAACCAGCATGGACGGACAGCATCACCTACAGCATGTAAAATTGGCTAAAATACTATATAATGATGGGGGGGGAAAAAGGCATTAGTATATCTGAAGACAGCAGTCTTCAGCGGTATTTATCAGTAGTTCCTGTTGTAGTTTTTCTTCCTTACGATTAACTCGTCTCTCTTTTTTATTGTTACTCTGAAAATAGTTTCAAATCTAGAACAAATACCACGGCAACATGGAAAGAGAGAGCGACAAAGAATAGACACCTTAAATATATATCTTCTCTTCATAAATACTTGAACGTACCTTCGGTGTTCCCGTGGTGGGATTCGGAGAGAAACAAAAAAGGCAGAGGGGTGTTATTGGGAGTTGTCGTTTGTTACATTTGTTACATTATTCAGTAGAAAACAGTGATGCTGCCTAATTAGAAACACTATGTTCACCTTGGGTTGAGGACATACCGAGGCCGATAGGAGACGTCAGGCTGTTTGTCACTGTGTGTGCTTTTAATATTTGCTACAAATTCCTTTCGAGCTCAAGTTTGAGATGTTTCTACGTGATGGGACAGACAATGCTGAGATGTAGTTCAGTCACAGGCAGGATCTGAGCCTCTTAATCAGTATGTCTGGTAGACATCATGGATGGGCAGCTGGAAGGCTGTGGCGGGGAAGGCCTGGGGCACCGCGTAGCCGGCGTAACCTCCGTATGCTGCAGCCGCCACGGCTGCGTTTTTCTGCAGAGCTGCCAGAGCTGCTGTGTTGGCAGTGTAGTTTGTGATGGGGACATACCCAGGTCCATACAGACCACCAGCTGCTGGGATGCGCTGTACGTTGTGGGCCATGGCATAGACTGGAGTGATTGGACGGCCCTGCGTAGGGAAAGAAAGTGAATTAGAAAAAGGAGATTTTTAAAGCGTGCCCACAATGCCTGTATTGAATTTACATAAGAAGGGTGGCCATAGCTTCCTTTTACATAGAATTTAAGCCAGTGTGACTTAAACCTGAATTCCTTCTATTGACCAGAAGGGGGCAGCAACTCTGCACAAAGAAATGCAAAAGTTTATGGAAACATGACCCCAATACTCACTTGATCCATGACCTCAGTAAACACTTTGCTGATAGGTTTATGGTCTTAATGACTACTTTCAAGTCTTACTGAATGCAGCATGATGTTTATTTTGTTAAGTATGGTCCCCATTAGAGCCGTAAAGAATAATAAAGCACAGTTGTTGTTTTTTTTTTGGGGGGGGGGGCTTATGTAGCAATGGGGCAGGCAGCTACAGAATGAGTGCGGACCATCTCTTTCTCAGTCAGACCAGCCCATCCCTAATCACAACTGGTTTCAAAACAGCCAGATAGAGCCGTAAAAATCTCAAGTCACGGCTTCACAGTCGCTAAGTTAATCTTTTCTTTAAGGTCTGAATCACACATGGGCTAAGTATGGGCCCTGGGCTTCAACCTGGGCCCCAGCGTCCTTAAAGGGAAACTAAAGACTCCCCAGCCTCCTGTCAATAAATGAAATAAAAGCATTGCTATTGGTGCTTAACGTGAATGATTATAATAAGTCTCTACTGCACCTTCCCTCTACAGCTCCACAGGATAGTAGCTCACACATCTGGATGCCCAGTGAAAGATCTCCAGTTCGATTCCAGGGAGAGACATAAATCCTTTTGGGGTTGCAATAGAGGGCATCCGTTATAACAATCTGTCTAACACAGTGTGTTTTGGCAGGTGAGGGAACCTTGAGACGTGGTTATAGAGGTGCAGCGTGGGGAAAAGAACTCCTTAAGAAATAATCCACATAATAACTTGCTTTGCAAGGCTGCGATCAGCTGACCTGTGCTGCTACTCTATTGTTCACTGCTCTTTGTGGATTTGGCCAGCCAAATTCAGCAAGATATAATGAGATGTTTCATGAGCTGTATGGTTCATTTTCAAACCCCCAGACACCATAAAATGAGTAAAAAGTGAGTGAATCTAGTCAGCATCATCACGTTAAGTATCAGTTGATGTGTGATGTAACTTAACGTCACAAAACTGCAAACTCACCAGTTTAGCCTGAACTAACGTCTACCAACCAGCTCAGTAGACCTAAAGTATTTTCATGCAAAGTTTGAATAAGGGAATTTGTATACTTCAAGTATGAGTTCAGATCATGCATCGATCTCAAAAATGATTGAAAAACTTTGGAAAATAATCTCTCATCGTCTTTCTTACATCTTTCTCCGTTTCCCAGTCCTGCACATTAACGTTTGCTTCTCTTCCTCTCTCTCTCTTAGCTCACACACACATTTAGGAACAAACTGTGCAGAAACAGCTGTTCTGTTCTGAGATATTTGTCAAGCTGCTTGAAAAGTTGACCATGAAGTTACCCTCCTATTTAAAAAAACATCACTCAGTTTATGCTTGCTCTTCTTTTGTAGTGGTATGCAGGTGCTGAATTACAGCCACTGCAACTTTACATGGTAAATGGCCTGTATTTGTATAGCGCTTTACTAGTCCCTAAGGACCCCAAAGCGCTTTACACATCCAGTCATCCACCCATTCACACACTGGTGATGGCAAGCTACATTGTAGCCACAGCCAGCCGGGGCTCGAACCGGCAACCTTCCGATTACAAGGCGACCTCTCAACTCTTGAGCCACGATCGTCCCTGCCATCTGCACCATGAACGCATCACAGGGATGAGAAGAAAAAAAAGGATATGATGAGGGTGTAAGTGGGCTGTTGGATGTCATAGCTTTCTTATTACTGAGAAAGTATATCCGTAGTGTTACCAGGAGCAACGGCAGCCACACAAATCTAAAAAATTGAATTAATATAACCGTAATATGCACTGACCTGCCAATCCCACTAAATTGCTCATTATCTGAATGTCATTCCGACTCACTTTGACCCCGTGAATAATACCCACCTGGAAGGGTGGAGGGGTAGAGACCGCAGGTAGGACGGTGGCAGCAGCAGCAGCAGCAGCAGTAGCAGCAGCAGCAGCGGGGGAGTGTTCGGGGTGCTGCATGGCCAGAGGGTTGATAAGATGCTCCACTGTGTGCACCTTCCCCTCCTCCATCAGCTTGGCTGCAGGAGTGGCGCTGAACACTGGGTACTGCCCACCCAGAGTCTGTAATGCCACTGCACATAGAGAGACACACAAATGAGAGCTTGGATAACAGACTGGAGACAACAGAGCATCATCCAAATATTAACACTACTCAGGAAATAACAGATAAGCGCACACATGCATCCAATCATTTATAGAGATAAAACACTACAGAGGCGAAGAGAGAACAGCACAAACAGGGTGAAGGGTTCAATTTCAGCAAGAAGTGGAAATAAATAAGTTACACAAATTGGCGTTGTGGTGTGATTCAGCTTATGATGGTGCTCAGCTGGGGATTAACCCTAGCACTTCAACACACACACACACAGAGCAAACACAACATCAGTCATTGTTTCAGATCCACAAAAGTCTTTTCAATCCTGTGATTCCACACAGACCGGCACCGACACTGAGCTGCAGATTGAGGTCAAATCCTTAAACAAGGAAACATCAGTAACGTCGACTCTACTGAACGGATCTCTGATCACCAAACACACGACACTGACACACACATGCAGTAAATGGTTAGTAAGGTTTAATCAATATGTTGATAAAACAATTAGGCTTAGTAGCTTTAGTCGAAGAATTTGAAGGCTGAAGAATAATTCCAGTGTTTTAAATTTTCCATATCAACATCTTTAAAAAAAAAAAAAATCACTTCACTATCTTTCATTCTTGAAAAAAGAAACGTACAGGATTTAGATGATCCACCAACATTAAAATAAACTCAGTTTCATTCCCCCCTGCCTGCTTTCAGGAAATAAGGCAGAATGAAAGAAATTGAATTTTTCCACCAGGAAAATGATCCTTTGAAAACAAGACACTTACAACGTTTCTCTCTTAGCTGGGAGAGCAGTTGCTGTAGATGTAGATGTGCTACAACTCTTCATAACACTGGAATCATCCTTCAAGTGATCAGAATAGAGTGGACACAACAGTCTTTAGTTTGTGCTTTTACATTTGCATTTCAGCTCCGATTATGGCTTAAACTGTCACAACGCTCACAAAGCTACAGATAAGACTCAGTGTGACTAGAGAAAAAGCTACCTTCGTCATGTTCGAGCACTTATTAAAATAGAAAGACAAAAAAAGATCATCCATCTGTCAAGTCAAAGTTGGAGACGACTGCATATAAACTGCCTTGAAAAAACTACAACCGTATAAAAAGCTATGTATGATATGGCTGCTGACTAAACCTCTGCACTCCAGAGATTTGGTAACACTTTATTATTCTTATTGATGATTATTATAAAGAAGTGTAGCTATGGTTAATTGATTTTTAGTAAGCTAATAGTTACTGCTAAAGAAATACATAGCAATGTTAAACAGTGGTTCTACAGTGTAGGGTTTATATTTTGACCTAACAAGTGACTGATCCCTGCTTCGATTCTGGGATGTGATGCAAATCTCTAGAATTGCATCAAGACGGGCATCTGGCTTAAAAATGTACAGAATCTAAACCTGGGGAGCTACCCGCTGTGGTGACACCCTACCAAAAAGAAAGCACCCAAAAGCAGGATTGACAGGTTTACAATAACCCTGCAGATAATGTTCACAGATTATGGATAGGTAGGTATTTTTACTGTATATAGTAGCATTTGTACATAACACAAAATACTCTTTTATAGGGATTTATTAATTCTGCTTTTTTAGTACTTTTGAGTTTTTGTTTACTTTCTAATATTTCTCCACTTCACGTTTTCTTTTTCACTCTTGTGCTGCTGTAACAAGTGAATTTCCCCAGTGTGTGTTTAATAAAGTCGATCTCTATCTGAAGGAGGGGCGGTGGCGTAATTCACGAGCTCGTGAAACCTTGTCCGGTTTCTCTCACTGCCTAGTTTGTCTTTAATTTGTAGTTTTTTTTAATTGTTTCTATTATAAAAACTGCATAAATTGTAATTTTAGGCCTATTAATATTTTGGAAACATTAATGCTTCTTATTTTATTGCTTGTTAGCAGGGGGTTGCATGTTTTCTCATGTTTCTCATGTTCATGGAGACACACCATTGGTGTGAACCATTTCTCGTAAATATCAGCTTAAATGGGCTCCAACTGTCAGCATAAAGTGTTACCTGAAGACGCTCGTAACGGTGTTTTAAAATCACCCTGTGGTGTGTCTGAAACAACCCTTACAGTCATGGCTTTTGTGTTTTAGGTTTCAGTTCACCGCTCATTTAAACAAGCACTGATCAGCACAGTTTGAACCTGAATAACCAGAAAGACAAATTTCTGTTGTGTAAGGAAAAGGAAAGAATGAGGAATGAAGTATAGCCGTTACCTTCTGGTCATGTTGGAAAGGACTGACTACAATGTTGTTATTCTTTACTGTAAATGAAAGAAAGGCCGTCCTTTTGCGCATGACCGTCCAGAAATGACTAGAAAGCTGATTCACAAAAAATGCTCCTCAAATCACACAGGAGAAAAAACTGCGGGCTGGAAGATTTAGTAAAAGCCTTTTTGAGATGGGCAAGAATAGGTCGGGGTTTGTCTATCTCACTGACTTGTGCCATGTTTGATGCCAACTGGGTTGACGGAAGCAGCGAGCTCCAGACTGGGCATCAGCTCATAGGACTTTTCAGGCTGCTTGGTCTTGCCCTCGTGGTAGCGGCTGTAGATGCCACGACCGGCAGAGTAACCTCCGAGGTACGACCCCCGTGGCCCAGGGGTACGATTACCTGCAGTAGCACGACCACGACCTCTCACAGTACCTGCTTAAAATACAATTAAGGGGATATGATGACAGGGGTTGTGGTTTAGGGCAGCAGGGGCAATTTTGGCAAGATGAGTTTTGAAAGTTTCTCAAGACATCAGAACTTGCACACGACTAATTTAACTCATATTTTAGCTAATATTCTGCACATAGAGAAATATTGCTACTGAATTTTTGCTCCGACTTGGAGGTGTTTGGGTTTAGTGTGGCCTCTGTCTCTTAAATTAGGTCTATTATGTAACTCCATAATGTTGTCGACTTGTATTTCAAGAGTTTTGCCACTTGGTGGTGAGCTCTCTAATAACCCAGCATGAAATGGGAGGTGACAGCACAGCAGGAAAAAGATGGTGTTAGAAAATGTATAGTTTGTCACATGGCAAGAAGGCTCATTGTTCATCAGAGTAACAAGTAGGAATAAGGATGTGAGAGATTACCATTGTTCTGTATCATTGGGGATCCTTTGGAGAGAAAACCAAAACACAATGATTGCTCAAAGTTAGATTTTCCTGCTATCACCCAAGACCATATTTAAAATCAATCATTAAAGGTGATGGGATTAGCATTCATTGATCCATCAGCTGGTTTTGTATTTCCCTTTTACAACACCAGTTCCAAAAGAAAGTTGGGACGCTGTGTGAAATGTACATTAAAACAGAAGGCAAAGATATGCAAATCTCACAAACACATATTTTATTCAAAGCATAGAACAATGAAAACGTACGAAAACTTCAAACTAAGGAAATGTATTTAAAGAAAGAATCTGATCACGTTGAATTTAATGGCAGCATCGCTTCTCAAAAAGTTGTGACAGGCCCATGTTCGCCACTGTAGTATCCATTACTCTCTGAACAACACTCCGTAAACTTCTGGGAACTGAAAAAGACCTGAGAATTTCGATTCCCCTAACCACAGAACAGTTTTCTGTTCTGTCTCAATACATTTTTAAATGAGCCTTAATCCAACAACAATTCACATAAGGCTTTAACCTGAATTTGTAGATGGTGCATTGAACTGTGTTCACAGACTGTGATTTCTGGAAGTCTTCCTGAGCACATGCAGTGATTTCCATGACAGAATAACGCCTGTAGCGCCGCCGGAGGGCCCAAAGATCACGCATTCATTCAAAATGAGCTAATTTTTGTCTTTAAAGAAAAAGGTCTTAGTTAAACGTTTGATATGCTTCTTCCGATGTCTTCCATTGTGACTAAAATATGGGTTTGTCAGATTTGTAAATCATTGCGTTCTTTTTTTTATTCACATTTTACACAGTGTCCCAACTTGTTTGGAATTGTGGTTGTAACATAAAAGTGATTTTAAGCCACAAACCCTCATCAAGTTAAAGATTTCTTTAAAATTTCTCATCAAATGAATCTTTAAATGATCATATTGTCCTTTTGAACATCTGAAAATTTCTTACAGTAAATACTGTTTTCATATCACGAGATCCTAAAATGTTTTGGAGCTTTGGCTCCAACCAAGAGGGTTTTTCATGAAACACTGAATTTTGCAACAGATTATTACTGATTGAAAAAAAAAAATCATTCTAACCTTTGACGAAGTACTCTCTGTTGGGTCCAATGAGGGTGTTGTAAGGATAACCATAGTATGCCAATGTGTAGGGATCACACTGATAAACGTAGTTCTGCTGAGTAGCCTCTGAAGTGGCAGGAGCTCCCCCCTTTGAAGCCTTCTGGCGTGAGTACTGCTCTTTATCGACAGGTTTGGCGAGTGTCACCTCGATGCAGGACCCTTCTACCTCTGTGCCGTTGAGGTTGTCCATAGCCAACACAGCATCATCCCGGGAGGTAAAGTGGACAAAGGCGTAGTCACGGATTTTCTTTACACGCTCTACACATCCAGGGTTAAACTGGCTGAAAATCTAAAGACAAAGGATGGGAGAAATTAAAATCGTGTCAGAAATGTTTTGCATGCTCGAACCCAAATAGCCAGTCGGTCCTCACCTGTCTGATCGTCTCTTCGCTGGTTTCCATCATTAGATTCCTGACATACAAGATCTTCACTGTTTCCATCACGTCTTCGTCTACATCAATCTCTGGCTCTGCCCAGTCCACTGCAATCTGGTGGCCCCACAGCTGAATGCGTCCAGGCATCAGCTTCCTGCGAGCCATGGCTGCTGCACGATGTGACTCATACTCTACGAAGGCAAAGCCACGGTTCTTCATCTTGTCTGCAGCGCTGGCATAAACTATCACATCTAATACGCCTTCTGTCACCTTGGAGACCTCTTCCAGGATCTCCTCACGTTTCTTGGTCTTGGGAATGCCACCAATGAAAAGACGGCAGTTGTCCACTGAGGAGCAGACACCCAGCAGCCGCCCAGGCCGCACTTCATAGTTATTCAGCTCCCGCACGGCTCTCTTGGCCTCGTGTTTCTCTGTGTACATTACAAAAGCGTACCCTCGATTTTTCCCATCAAAGTCCATCATCAGGCGCATCTCATAGATGCGTCCTACGGACTCAAACACTGGGACCAACTCATCTTCATAAACATCCCGCGGAATCTTTCCGACAAAGATCTCACAGCCTCGAGGAGGAGATGCACCATTCCAACCGGGAGGGGGACCGTACTTTCGCTGACCATTTTCCTGGACCATACTGTAGCCAGTACGCTCCATCAGGGCCACCAGTGAGGCCTCATTAGGTGCACCAGCAACACCCTCAGGGATGTTGAGCTGTCCATGGTGAGAGTGATGGGCACCAGAGGATTTGGAGGGGGCAACGTTGTTACTCATGGTCGAAGAAGAAGCAGGATCTTCAGCTGTCATTCTGACAAAACCATCCAATCAGATCAGGGCCTGAAGGAGGATAAGAGAGAGATCTGTCAAATTATACTGAATTAAATAGCTGCTGTAAAGACAGAGAAAAAAAATACAGCGGGAAGAAAATAGGCTGATGATCAGAAGACATCATTTAAACAACAGTGACTGATTGCTGACTTTGAGCACAATTTGCATGCATGCAAGATTACCTGACTAAAACAAACCAGCACACATTATGAGGCCTGAACACCACAGTGGAAATACAGCATCCATAAATCCTCAGGGCGCCTTCCCCTATCAGTGGTTTTACAACCTTGTTTTGTTGAGTAACTCAGATCTCTTGCTGACCTCTGACCCCTATCAGACAGATTGAAGGGCTGTAAACCCTGAAACCTCCAGCTCAAGGTTCACCAAGTATGACTAGGTCACATGCTCAGTGCATGTGTGTTTGTGGTGCGCTTGTGTGTAAAAAGTCAGCGAGGACTTAAGCTATATAAGGAATTTTGTGTAACATAAACCCTGTTATGTGACAAAAGGCTGCACACATTCATCTTTGCTACACACAAGCCTCCTGTGTGCACGCTCACCACGTGGCGGTGTTGGATTTTCCATCTCCTTATCAATATGAATGCCATACAGAGTGTGGGTGCAGCTATTAGTGTGTGCACATGTGTGTTTCAGTGTGTCCTCATTAAGTAGTGCAGCCCTAAAAAAGGAACAGAGAACAATCAGAAATCGGCTTCCCGAACATAAACCTCTTACTCTGTTATTTTCCAACACAGCCGGCATTCAGAATGGAAAAATCCACAGGTTTTTAAATCCCCCAAATCATGCTGCATAAAATAGTAAGCAACCAATCAGAACAGACTATAACACTAATTTGATGTGACTCGGTATCACGTAAAAACATATAGGCCAAAAAAACAAATACTCGCTACTTAGGCTTTGCTTGGGTTTCTTTGTGCAGCACAAGATTGCCTGGACTAGGATGGAGATAGGTGAGGCAGTCAACAAAGGCAAAACACTAAAAAGCCAAGCAACCATGGTAACCTGCACACTGATCTGACCTGACCCAACATCCCACTCTCCTACAAACAAACCTGTTCACATGTCACTTTGTCCAAGGCTGAATGAGGGGCTTAGAATGACTAGTTCAAACATGGATGATAGTACAAAAAAGGAAGGAAGCTTTAAATGTCTTTTTTAAACAAAGCACAAACTCCCAAACGGTTAGGAAAAGGAAAAGGAAATCACCAAGTGTGGGGAAAAAAAAAAAATTTCCTCCTTTATCTTTTGCCAGTAGTTCACCACTGGTTGCTGAATCCCGACGAAGGTCAAGATGACATTCATTTATATCTGCTTTTCCAAAATAGTTTTCCAAGAACGGGTCATGGACCTGTTCTTGGGTAAAACTAAGGACAATGTGTGTATTCTAGCTCAGGAAGCAAAACCTTTGAGCATTTAACTGGCCTGCCTATCAGCACACGGGTCTTACTAAGAAATCATGCCGAAGCCTTCCGGGTTGTATCCACAGGTTCAAATTTTTCTGCGGTGCGTGGATTGTCTGAGGTTAATGTTAGAATTCGTATGTCGTGCAAATTCAATGGAAGGTTGCTAGGAGCTGTTGTTGTTGGGAGGTGCTTTTTAAACTAGGCTGCCAAACAGACACTGTCACCTTCAAACTAACTCATACTTGGAAGTATGTCTCTGCTTCCAGTTTGAGACACACTTTTTCAAGTTTTCCTACCACTCAGCTAGCAGCTCTTTGGACACCGGTTGGGGTCCTCTATGCAAAAACTACAAGTAGCTGCAATCTGCTAAAGACCAAAGCAATCACAACTAGGTTTTTTGGTGCAGCACCATGTTTTTGACCAGTATGACTTACTGACAGCTAACAGCCACTCACCGTGTGGGGAATACATATTTTTCCAAGTTTGACCAAGTTGTAACAAATCAAATGTGGCGAACAACTGTCCAGCAATGTATGGGTGACCTCAGTAAGACCCCTCTATAGGCTAATGTTAGTCTATAGAAGACAACTTTTTTGTTTAAATATATTTTTTCCTGTGAAGATCAACAGGAAAGCAGAGGAAAAAAGGGCCACGGGTCAGACCCGAACTCCAGCCAGCTGCTTTCAGTATTGTGGCATATGGTTGCCTGCTCATCCAACTGAGCTAAACTGGCACCCGTATCAAAGGCAACCCTAACCCTTCACCTTAAGAAATAAAATCTTCTGCCAGTTGTAGACAAATTATTTTTTTAAGAAAAAAAGGGGATATAAAAATTAATCAGAAAGATGCCTTGTGGGTACATTACACCTGTGTTAATGTACAAAAAATAAAAGTGTTCTAAAATAGTTGCACATATCAGTACATATTTTATGAGGTGGTGAAAACTTGTGATAGTGTATTTTATATGCTTGGACACACTAACCACTACCTTACAGCTTCCTTTGCATGTAGTCTTGTGTTTTTAATCAGTGCAAAGTAATTATAAGGAGACGACAGACGTAAAATCACCCTCGGTAAATATGATTATTGATGATTGTCCTTTATGACAAAAAACCCCTAAATGTCTTACATGGTTTGTTGCACTTTATCAGTATTTCTTGTCACTTCACGTCCCTTTTTAGGGCTGCCACTGAAAACATTTATGAAAGTAGTTTGTTTTGGCATGCAAACAAACTATGCAGCGTATTCGTCATCTCTGCAGCTCATGACATTTTAATCTCTTCTATTTTTTTGCTTCAGTGTGGTTTTCTTTGTCTGCCCTCCCTCTGTTCCTTCTATCGTGTGAAGTGCTAACATGACTCGACCTCATATCAGCCTTATCTTACCAGGCTGATGACAAAAGGAGGACAATATTCACACTGGGAGTTCTGCTGGATGATAAAATGAAGCTTTGTAACACAGTGAGCTTGACACTTTGTGCACTGAAGCAGTTAGTATTAAAAAAACAACAAATTTAAATCATTCTTCCTGCTTTTCACCACTTCCTAGACATTCCTAACTTCCTCAGTGCTGACCGTGTCAGGAGTGAAGTGAAACTCTGTTGTAAAAATATGAGAATAATTTGCGTGAATTTGAGATCCTTTGTGTAGCACATGTACAACACAGCGTATTAAATGACAAAAAGCAGCTTGGGGAACATCTTCAGCATTCAATCCTGCATGTGTATAAGTGACAGAGAAAGGCAGAGTGGGGAGGAGGAGGAAACCTGAGGCTGAAACAGGTAGATAATTAACCAAGGTGAACACAAATCACAGCCTTTATTCACAGAGAGCATAAAGATTTACAGATGGTGTCTTATCCAGTAAAGACAAGGAGTTTGAAAAGTTATGACCACTTAGGTGTGGCTCACGTCTTCAGATTTGAGCCTCTTTGTTGGGGCATAACAGGAACAGCTAGTTACTTCGTTAAAAATAATCTACCTTGACATTAAGAGCTCAGAGTTCGCCTGGTCAAAGGTTACGAACTCAGAGCGGCGCAAGATAGAACGACTGGCAAGCGAACAAGCGAAGGAAGTTCAAGAGCGGGAATTTGTTTAGTTAACAGAGCCGAGCTATTCCCGTGAGATTGCTTGCTACGTTACGTTTATGATTGATAGAAGCACCTGATTCTCTGCATATTAACAGCGTGTTACTGGGGACTGAGTTGTTTTATGAGCGGACAGAGAGGCTTTTACAGAGTTCTTCAGGTCGTCATAAACACAGATTGACTTGCAAAATCCATCTTTTTTCTCAAAAGAGCAAGTGAGCATATAACATTATGAATCTGTAGTCAGCTATGAAAAGGAAGGATATTGTATTATTTATGACTTTAGGATTTCTCTTATCAGAGGAATATGCATGTACAGAGGTCTGTACAGCGATCCAGAGCACTGATGAAATAGGCCTAAGAAGGCTGCCATCTTTAGCCACACACTCATGTAGACACGTGGAGGAAATTGATTCACAGTCGCCCCAGCAGCCCCCTAACAACAGCGTCGCAAGGCAGCAGAACAGGATCGTGGAAGCACCAACGTTTAAATAAGCCTGAGTCCTGCTGCTTTATACATGCAACACAAACACCAGCCAGATAACAACAGATGTGGTCCTAAATAACTCAAATACTATTTAAACCATCCTTCAAAGACAGGTCAGTAGAGATAACTGCAACAACAATAATCAACGCATAGTCTCAAGTCACAAAAAGTTGTCATTCAAGGACAGCGAGCGCCTATCCAATCAAAGGGAGCTAGAGATACGGGGAAGTGAGAGTAAAACAGAGTAGAAATCTTGAGAAAGATCGTAGCAGAGGGATGGTGGTGGAAAAGAGAAGAGGAAGTAGAAGCAGAGAGTGGTCAGAGAGGAGGATATCTACCCCTGTTGCTTCACAGCGCTCCGCTGCTTGGCCGCCTGCTCTGGGAGTGTTAGTCCACCTCCATGAGAGACAGGTACAGCAGGGCACTGAGCACAGAGTCCAGCCTCCTCTACACTAAGACACACACACACACACACTGACCCAAAGCTGCAAGCATGAGAGCTGATGAGGGTGGAGCTAAAACAGGTACTTGAGTTTGTGTGTGTCTGTGTGTACATGTGGATGAATCTCATCTTTACTTTTATTGTTATTTCATACACACACAAGCATGTTAACAAAATTTACTCATACATAGAGCAGTATTTATATTTCACACACCTATATACTGACACTGTGAAAAATATAATTGATGCTGTAATCTCCTTTTCAGACTTTCCATGTACAAATGACATGATTGAACCAGTAATTTTAATTTATCTGCTTACTTAAAGACAAATAAACTGTCAGTGTTCACCAGCCAAGAGAAGCATGCCACTAAGTGACATTACAACCAAGGCCTCGGTCACCCAGACCTAGAGACCTGTTTGCAACCACCTGGCAACCATTGGTCACTAGGGAAAAATATATTGCCAAACCGGTTGGCAAGTGGTTGCTGCCAATCATCAGGTGAAAGTGGTCACAAAGAGGTGCACAGTCCTGCTCCAAAGCCTCTTTGTGATTGCTCTGGTAACTAGCAGATGGCATGAAAAATGCCAACTTCTCTGCAAACAGTCGCTGACTGTGGCAAAACTGAAAGGTGCTGATGGTTTCACTACCACTCACTGAGTACTTGGCTGGTGTTTACTTGGAAGGCGCCGGCTTGTTTGAAAAATCTGCTAGTGATCACCAAAGCAATCACAAGGAGCTTTTAGGTGGAGCTCCCTCTGCACGATCAAGCTTTCCAGCATCCATTCACCCAGCTGTCCGGGAATATGCAACCTATTTTCTAGCACTTCCTTTAGTGAAAGATAGTGGTTTAGTTCAACAGAAAGAAAAACATTCTTACATATATCCAAGCAGACCTAACAGAGTACTTCTGCACTACTTTTACCTTTATAGTACTTTTACTGCATTTAGGAATACAGCTATATGTTTTCACTGATCCAACGCAGCTGTAGAAAAAAAACACAAGTCAACAAGTCTTTGTTCCCTGACAAGTGAAAGCAGGTAATGCAGAGAGGAGTATGATGGGAAATTGAGTTTTAATGGGTTTTGAGGGTTTTCTGCTTAGATTTGCAGAAAAGGGAAAAATGTTCAGGAAACGTTCAAACTGGGGTTTGAATACTTCCTCATGTTTGTGCTGCAGTGAAAGGACATCTGAAAATTCTGACTGGAAGCTACCGCTGGAGTGATTTCTGTCATATCAGCACAAAACTGTGACTGTATATAAGTGTGTGCGTGTGCATTCAGGCATTCACGTGTGTTTTTTTTGTACATAACAACGGTGAACGTGTTCCTAGCACAGCTTAACCTAAGCAAACAGCACACACCTACCTGGGCAGTCAAAAGAGCAGATCAAGATATGAGAGAGAGGACGGAGAAAAAAAGTCACACGCTTTCAGATTTTGTTCAAAACAAAGAAAAAAAACGTTCCCTGTGTCTTCTGAAAGGAGCGAGAAAAGAGAGTGTTTGGGGAGACATGAGAGTTACAGTCTGGTGAAACGCACACTAAGTTTTAGTTGCTAGTGAAACCGACCTCACTCTTTAACGACTGAGTAAACAGGCAAGAAGACAGGGTGTGAAGTATAAAGGCCAAAGAATAATGGACGGACAAAGACTAAAGATTAAATGATAGTGAGATACAAACGGGCTTTTCTGCCTATGAATTTACTTTACAATCACATCAGAAAGAGCTCGCTCAGTACAAATGACACCAAAACAGTGTCTGTAAAGATACCCAGGTCAAAGTATGAATGTAAAGGTGTGTGTGTACATAAAGAAAAGAAGAAGAAGAAGAAGGTGCGGGGGGCTGAGTGTAAAGTAAAACCGGGGTTTCTTCTAAGCCGAGGGGGGTCGGTCTAAATTAAATCATTAACTGTGACTCATTAGTGGGAGCCAATCAGAGCTCAGGCACGCCTCAGAGATTTCAGGTGTTCTGGTGACTGCACAGCTAATCGTTTAGGAGGTCAAGTCAACAGTTTATCGTTTAACTCCACGGGAAGAACTGAGAGACGGCCGAAAAACGCTGACCGTCTCCTCAATGATTGGACACGCTCACTAAATCATTATTCAGGCACCGTTCACACCACACAGTCATTCGTGTGAGACGACATGTTTTGGAGCGCAGAAAACAATGATTTACAAAGAATTATGAAATAAAGCTGCGATCCTGCATATTTTATGATAGTCAACAAGCCAAATGACAGAATCATCCATCACATTTGTTTAGCTGCAGCTGATTTGGGAAAATAAAATCTTTTGAAATTTGGATATTGCGACTTTGACTAAGAGAAAATTAAGTGAAAATAAATTCTTATGAGCGAAGAACGATCGTTGCTGGACTTTCATGTTCATCTGCTGAGAGGACGTACGATCAGTTAAATACATGCATTCACTGATTGGTTTTTGATGTCAGACTAAACTGCTTTTTAAACGTAACACTGCATGGCTGAAACTGACGTTGTGTTTAAGTAAAGCAATTACTTAGAACTAAATCAATCACAGTAATCAGTGGAGAGAAAGAACTTATAGAGCTGTCTTAGACTTTGTAGGATATTTATGATAAGCTGGCTCCCTATTAAAAGACACACACACACACAGGAATCTGTTACATAGGCAAAACAATGAATAAGCTGAAATAAAAATCAGCCATAAAACAGTCCTGGTAATCAGTATCTCAGCTAGAAAGGCTGACTGATTATTACATGCGCCGTCTATATAAGTAAATGAGTAGCGTGTCACAAGACCAGAGGTCCCGCTGTTCATTTCTGCGGAGTGATACGACCTGTAGGAGTGCACCACACTGTTCAGGCCACACCGTTTTCCTGGAAGAACATTCTTCCAGTCAGCCACAGAAACTGCTGTAGAAATACATTTTAAAAAAAAGTTTCCTGGTGTGATTTTCATCACGTCAAACTGCTTCCAAGTTTCAGGTGGCTCTCACAACTCAACTCTCTCACAGATTTCAGCACACATATTGTTTTTAACTTTGACAAGGCCGAGCGGGATGGTGTCTTTTGATTAGAATGGCACCAAATACAAAGGAGGCATCGTGGTGTCTCTGGCCGCTGTACGGTGCATTATCTGAGCCACAGCACAGCACAGGGAAACAATCAACTTGACAAAAGAGAAGTGAGCGCTGCGGCTGACCTCTTAAGACACATGATGTTCTCATGTTGACGCAGCTCAGCTGTCAACATGCTGACGCCAACAGGACGACAGAGAAACGAAAAAAAAAAAAAAAAAAGTCGTGAGGCTGAGACAAAGAAATCTGCATTATCTTAAAATGTTTATATTACATTAGCTAAACTCCTGAGAGGCTTTGCTTCTGTCCCTGCGTCTGCTCCCTTATGCCTCCTTCTCCTACTTCTCTGCACTTTTCCTTCCTCCCATCCATGTACCTGTCACCCTCATTCCTCTGGTTCACCCAAGCTCAAAGACGAGCAGCAGGGAGGGGGAGGAAGGAATGAAAGAGAGGAGGCAAGGAGATGCAGGAAAAAGGGGAAGATTAGAAGAAAAGGGAAGAGAGTCTGAGTGGGGATCTGAGGAGGAATAGACCAGATGGAGAGGAGCGAGGGAGGTTAACGAAAAAATGGGGGGGGCAAATGTGCAGGCCTCCCTCAGTGCTAGAAAGCCCTTCAAAGTGAAACTGGCCTGAAGAATTTCAGGTCAGACGGAGTGCGTAAGTGACCACCTCCAGCTCGGAGTAACTCCACTACAGAGGAAAGATTCCAGCTCATTTACTCCGAGAGCCCCCCTCCACCTCCAGGACCTTCACATTTGTCTCAAATGTCACTCAAAACAGCACGATTTGAGTCCAGCATGAGAATCTAACCCAACATAGAAAAGCTAAGTCTTGTTATAAAGTATCACAATATACAGATCCTTCATACAGCAACAAAGTCATTACTAATCAGAAGAGCTGCTTTAGCACTCGCAGAAAGGAGCTTTGCCTCTTCAGACAAACACATTCCTCCGGCTAATCAGCTAGCCCGCTCAAGGCCATAGCAGACATTGTTTCAAGCAATTACTACTGATGCTGGCGGTGTCACACTCGTGACACGGGCTCCTTCAGAGTGTGTGTGAGTGTGTGTTTGAGGTTTAGCACAGGTATTTGGTCATGCTTGACACAGAGCAACATGACTTTATTTTGGGATTTTGTTTTTTTTTCCAGTGTTTTTCCCATCCACACATACTTCACACACTTAAAAATGAGCTAATCTTCACGTACTCTTGGGCCTACCCAAACACACCGAGAGAGTCAATTCTCCCACAACAGCACGCTTACAGAAGACGGAAACAACAGTGATGTCATTACAAACAGCTGTTTTTTTAGCTTTTCCATCACAAAGTGAACCCATTCATCAACCAAACTTTTGTACTTTTAGCACCGAGTATACCCTCAGTGAATGAATGAAGCAGCATGTCTCTCTCTTATGCACACACACACACACACACACAAAGCAAACACCTCACCTCACTGGGGTAAAAGTCCACGCATTATATGATGAAGAACCCGGAAGTCTATGGGTAATAATACCAGCTTCTCTGTGTAGCCACTGAAGCATTTTTATCCCCCACCCTGAACACACACACACACACACACACACACACACACACACACACACACACACACAGTGGTGTGCCATGCCACTCCACTGGTTCCACTGGTTCCACTGTAGGGATACCTTGATCTCCATTCCAACCTCTGATTGGAATAAAGACAGCAAAGGCACTTAAACCAATCAGTTTGACTGTGATAAAGTGGTGAAACAGGCCCCTCTGGTAAAATGATCAAGCAAAACTTGACGGATTTCTATTTAAATCGAAACGCAAACAGCTGTTTAACCAGAAACGTCTCCATCAGAAGCTGTCCTGTTAGGAACGTCTTTGAGGCAAAGGCTTCTAGAAATTATTGAGGTCGTCTTTCATGAAGATACCCGTCTGTAACGAGCAGGCTTTAAGGAGACTCAAGCAAATTAGATTTTTAAAACAGACAGAAACAACCTTCGGGGTCAGTTTTAAGATGTTACCTGTTTTCCAGACTCAGATGTTGTCGATCAGGCCGAGGAGATGCAGTCTGTGTTGACGGGGTATCTTTTCACACCTATCTAAAACTCTCTCCCTGCGTCCATTCACACTCCTTTGGTGTTGACAGGCTGCAGGAGTTTAGCCAGTCTCCTTGAGTGCCTGAGTCTGTGTGTTTGAGTGCCGAGGTAAGCAAAGGTGGTTTAGTGTTTACTCATTCTCAATGGCCAGAGGAGAGAGGTGGGGCCACTTAGGGCAGGTAACCCCCTCCCTCACCCACCTTTTCTCCCTCCTTCAATCTCTCGCTCTCTCTCTTGCTAAGCAGATAAGGAGTCAGAGGAAAGGGAATGCAAGGGATGAAAGGGCAAAGGGTGTGACTGACATCAGAGAAAAGTCATGAGCTTGCGTGGGATTCAGAACAATACACTCCTGATTACATTAAATGAATAAAACCAAAAAAACCTGACGTGGAGTAGAACGATGATCGAGGAAGTAATTACTGGAATTTGCAGGAAAATTTTCCAAATGCCAGCCTTTTTGTCTAAGAGGACAACAAACTTTCACAGTCCCAAAACAAAGCAATCAGTGAATGTTTATTCTACCTACAGACCTTTGTGAAACAGATAAACACACTCTAGCACTCACACAATAAAAGCTCTTCTTTCTTCTTGTTAGGCAACAAAAAAAACAACAAAAGATCTCGCTGATCACATCAGCTCATTCCAAAACCACAGATAGAAAATAAATATGTGAAATATATCAAAATCAGATGATGTTTAAACACCAGTTTTTAATAAATGTAACAGACTGGCAGAGCTAGAAACAACTAAAAAGTAAGGAGGGAACGCCTCTCATTAAAAATAAAAACGTGAGGCTAGAGGCCTTTCTGTGGCTTTGTGAGCTAAATTTCTTTCACACGCTAACATATACTTTAGTGATTGACAGGTTTATTTTATTTTTAATTATCATTGCTAATTAAATGTTTACATTAAATGTAAATGTAACTAAATATCTCAAAAAGCTAACTTTCAAGTTAAGCCAAGTTAAGCTATCAGAAGTTAAGCTAAATCATTTAAGCTAAGCTCAGCATGTTAGCTTGGACAAACAAGCTAACTTTGTTTATTTTAATCAGTCCTCACTATTGGGAGCAGTTAGCAGCAGTCACGGAGCTTCAGTCCAGTCTCAAGGCGGTTTGTGGAAAATTCACCAAAAAAATGTTTTTTGTGTGTGTTTTTTTGCGCCGGTAAAAACAAGTTTGCCATATTTTTCACCAGCTAGTAGAGCTATGTTTGTAATTTGTTGGACAAAGATACAGTTTCTGTGCACCTGACAGCTACTTCAGTCAATCAAGCTGTGAGTGGCATGCAGACCTTTAGCTAAGGGGTTTAACAGTGTTCCCTTTTTCTATATCTTCAGGCGTATTTCAGTCAAAGGTCTGTACAGATTATTAACCTAGTGCGATACTGTAAATCAGAAGAGATTACTTTAAGGCTGGAGGCATTTTCAGTTGTATTGAAAGACACAAACCCTTTGTCAAAGTGATATATCCTTGATTTATAGCTCAGATTCAATCAAGTCAGGATTACAAAAAGTCTGTTAGATATTTCTGGTTTTGCCACAGTGTGTGCACAATGACATTTTTCTGGCCACTCCCAGCGAGTATCATGATTAAGTTTCACCTGACTCTTTTGTTCATGTTGAATTAAATATGAACTGAAAGTCACTTTGGTGGTAACATATTAAAGACAAAGTAAATGGAAATCAAAGCAAAGCAGTCACATTCCAGTCATATTTACCAAAAACACGAGGAAGGTGACAGAGAATAAGAACTGACAATTTACATAACTTCAACCTGTAAAGAGAACAGTGCCCTATAATCTTATCAGATGGGATACAGTTACTACAGGGGGAGGTTTGTGCATGTGTGCGTGTGTGTTAGTGCCATTGTACAAGTGACACATTAACCAGTGGCTCTGTTAATGAAGGACAGGCAATCACTGGTTCTTTTGGCAGTACACACTCTCATTATATGCAGATACCCAGTTCAAAGTTTAAAATGGAGAAATCTATTCTCTCTCCAGTGGGGTGTAAAAGGGTTGCTGTGATGGCTATACAGAGTCATAAATTTATTTTAAAGTAGGAGAGCGCGTGACTCAAACACCAAGATGACTTTATGGCTCCCGCACTGCCTCTCAAACTTTAAGTAAGCATCTCTAAGGTGCCTTCCTGATCTCACATCAACGATTCATGACCCAGGTGATATTTATACTATGATAATATTATCTCTAATAACCCAAATAATCTTTTAAAAATTTAAATAAGAACAAAACAAAAGTAGGTTTAGAGATCATTAATTAAGGTTGTATATTTTTTCAACTATCTCTACAAGAGGAGCTATAGTTGTTAATAGATATATGAATTTGAAAAATCATGGCCGGCGCCAATTGTCCCCAAGAATCACTTCCTCCAAAAGCTAAAGTGGGAAGCTACTACGGTTTAAACCAACAGCAAGAACAGGGTCTCTCAAATAAAGGTGCAAAACAGCGTGAATGAAATGCAATACAAGCAAAGAGTCACAGCCGAATGAAGAAGAGACACAAACAGAGAGAAAGAGATATGGGACCGGCCCTGCAGGTCTGACATGAACCATTGGAAGCAGTACACAAACGACTTTTACAACGGACAGTGTGATGTTCAAGTCTGTAGAAAAGCCTGATGTCTTGTTTCTAAATCAAAGTGAGAGCAGCAAATACCAAAAATTCAACACCCCAAAAGACCAACATCAGCTGATATCACTGAGCTGGAAGTTTACTGTGTAAATGTGGTTACACACAGAAAACAAGAATTTAAACAGTTTTATTGGCAGTTTTATTTTAATGTACATCTGACTTTTCTCAGCTCAAGGTTAACCGGTCTGTGCGTTCTGTAACGTTTTTTTCAAATAAAGTCAGTGTTAATTGAGCATGACGTTCGTTCAGGCAGGACAATGCCAGCCCTCATGAGCTGATGGCTCAGGTGATACCTGTGCAAACATCCAAACTGAAAATCTCATACAGTCAGTGCACATATACACACCACTTTGCAACCCTGACTGAATCTGACTGAATCAGTGCTATATCCATTATCATTGACACCTGCGCTGCTCTTTCTGCTTCTGTCCGCACCTCCAGCTTTCAATAACTTGCACATGAAACTAAGTCATACCACCAGATATTTAAATGTTAAGGTTTAGATACTGGCATTGACTTCAGACCAGTGCAAACACTCCAGATGCTCAAACATATGCTGATATGATACAGCCTGTGCACATTTCCATTTGCCTTTGCTAACCTTTAAGAACAATTATTCCGTTTAATGAATCGATCATAAAAACTTCTGCAAAATCATTTAAAAGTATCTGCTGCATTCAATTTGAGAAGTATGATCAGCGCTGCATTTTAGAGCGTTTGAAATTCACGTATAAAGTCAAACATCATCAGCGGGTTTGCAACGAGATCTCGTTGGGGTGGCGTTTAGGTTTTGTGTTGAATGTAAACTTCAGTGTCTTTACTACAGTTAATGCATAAACATTACAGAAATGCCCTGACATGTGTCTCAGCACCGCAAGGTGTCCGTTTCTCATGAAAAGATTTCCACCAGGCAGCAGATCACCCCACTGTCAGAGTCAGCAACTCAACCCGCTTTAAAAATAAAAAAATAAAAATAAAGACAGACTCTGGGGTTTCAGTGTGATGTTATCCATGTTTATCTGTCAGCATGTACCAGTCAGCTCTGACCTAATAACTGTAAAATATAAAATGTTTAGTAGTAGTAAAAAGTACCAGTAAAACTGTCCAGTATTGCTTCACATACAGTAGATAAGATCTACTAAAAATCTAAAACCAAAACAGAAACAAAAATATACACAAAAATGCAAAAAACAAAAACAGCATCTCCAGTCCTCCTCCTCCTTTATCACATACAGTTTTGCAACATGCTCTATTTTAGGGTCAGTATCACACCATTAAGTATTTTGTATTACTAAGTATTTTGTCACCCATGCCTTTTGTAGGACACAAGTGTCCTTGTGAAATGTAGCGAATCATAACTGGACGGGAACGGTTTCACTTCAGCATTCTCGTCATCATCACCCCAACAGAGGGAGCAAACAGCACAGGGTGTCAAACACTTGCATATATGTGATTGCACAAAGCTTGTAGCGTGCATGGAGAGAGAAAGATTAAACCTGTCCAGCATAAAGAGGGGGGAAAAATGCTGTTCGGCTTAAAAATGCTCAGATAATAAGACTGCACTGAAGCCAAACAGGAAAAGTCTGGTTCTACTCAGTCTAACACTTCCTCATTCAAAGGGTCACCTCGCATCCTGTAACTGCTGTCAGCCAATCTGCATGTCCCACTTATCGTGAACAAAAATGACTCAGCACAAAAAGAAAGCCTTTTTGGCCTCCTACCGCACAACCGCGCGCTCACAGGACGTTAAAGTCCTGATCTTTTTTTTTCCTTCCATTGTGATGAAAGAAGTTTTCCCTTTTGCCTAGAATTTGTCAGCTGACACGTTGGTCATGTGGCTTATCGCTAACCAGTGAAAGAGCAGCAGCAGTGTGTGTGTGTTTGTGTGCTTAGCTGCTACAATCACTGCCAAGGTCAAGGAGACCATGAAAGAAGGATAAAGAACTATGAGTAAAAGACCTGAAGGAGCTCAAAAACATGCGGACACCACAGAAATAAAGAAATAGTCATCCTTATGACTGTTAACTGCACTGTAGCCACCTATTATCTGGCCAACAACCAGCAACCGCTGTAACGTCAATGTGGATGAGTGTCCTCCACCAACACGAGAAACAAAACTAACAATCATGTGACGGAGCATGAGCAGCAAGGGCGTGAAATAAGAGACAGACCAGAGGAGATGGGCCAGTTGTACAGGATTAAAGCTGCACTTGTTAAATCACCACTTCAGCTAAAATTCACGCAGTATTGTGCAAAAGTTTTAAGCCACCCCTCATTTCCTTACATTTTGCCTCTAAGGAGCCAGACTTTCTTGGAACATTTCAAAGCAGTCTTGAGCAAGGCCTTAAGATCTTTCAGGGATTTTCTTCGGACATTGGCTCCTTTTCCCACTCATTTCCAGTCCTGTCCCTGTCCCCAGTACCTGACCATCTTCAGAGGAATGTTTTTTCTGTTTGTTGAGCCACTCAGCCCTGACACATTACTCATTCATAAATAAATAAGGCACCTGACTCAAGGGATGAACCAGTTCTGCGTCTACAGACTACTTAGCTTTACCAGCATTGTTACAAAACCACATCATTTGTTCCCATTTCTTTTGTTGAATCTATGAACTATGCCACATATATCACAGCCTGACAGACACAAAATCGTATATTTGCACTACCAAGATGATTCTCAAAGCTGTTAGCTGGAAACTTGGCATATCTCAGCATGCTGCAGAGCGTGTCCTTAAAAATTTGAGGAAACAAAGACAAAGGGAAGACAAAAGAAGAAGTGGCAGGCCTAAAAGCTATCCACAACAGATGAACAGTATCTAAAAGTCATGTCCTTATGAAGAAGGAAAAAAAATCCAATCCTGACAAAGGACCCGAGTGATGTGTCTGGCCCTACACATCTACTGTGCGGGATCATCCAGACAGCAAGAACAAAGAGAGCTTTGAATGTCCTTCAAGAAGCCTGGAGAACTGCTCCTAAAGAAATGACAAGAAAGCTTCCCTAAGAGATTTCAGTCTGTGTTGTAGACTGAAGAAGAATTGTCATTCTGAATGTCTTCTTACCCATTTTGTAGTGTAAAGAAATGAGAGGAGGCTCAAGACTTTTAAATTAAACCACAATAAAGGACACACAGCACTTACTGCAAATAATTCTAACTGATAAAAGAAATCTTGCAAAACTAGATGCACTTTCCTAAAAAGAAAAAAAGAAAAAGAAGTCCAGTAAGGACAACCGGCCAGTGTTCGTGAAGGACACTGAGCGCACAGACATTCAATGTCAAGGATGTCAGCAAACCTTTTATTCTGGAACCGTTTTCCAAACGTGACGCAGCGTTTTTAATGGCTGCTCAAACAGCAGTTCAGCGTCAAAATGTTTGCCCTGGTAATCGTCAGCAGTCACCAGTTAACTTTGTGAATATTTGCATTAACAGGGCAGCAATTTTGATATGTTCACTGTAGTACAAACGCGTGGTTAACAGTCAGAGCCTCTGATTGGTTGTCTTATCATATACCAGCAGTAGTAAGCATCACATGTCTTTATGAATGGAGAATCACCTATAATCAGTCCACTTCCATAAATGTACTGTATGTCATGCTTTAGCATACAAGTAATGGATCTTTTGTCTTTTGGCATCATCCCTTACTTCCTGGAAAGACTGAACAATCTCTAGCTAGCACACCTAAAGAAATGAAAACACACACACACACACACTCGGTAAAGTGAGAAGGGAAGGTAGGCAGATAAGAACAGAATGAACAGAATGAAAAGCGGATGGAATTCATCGCTGTTCTCGACAGCTAACGCACAATAGCTGTTCTGCTAAACAGTGTCATGCACACCGCCCCGAAACAGAGGCTTAATGACGTGAAAAATACAAAGACATCACCCTGAGAAACTAAAGCAGTGTGAATTCCACCTGTTCACCTGCTCCCGTACTGAAACCCCTAATACAACAAAGGGGAGGGAAGAAGGGGGGGTGTGGGAACATAAGAGAGAGGGAAGATCAGAGAGAGAAAGAGCCCGACTGTCTGCATATAAAGAGTGTGTGTGTGTGTGTGTGTGTGTGTGTGTGTGTGTGTGTGTGTGTGTGTGTGTGTGTGTGTGTGTGTGTGTGTGTGTGTGTGTGGATACTTTATGTCAGTTTTGTGCATCAGTTCAGATTCAACCTACGGAACATTCCATTCTGGCACAGTGTGAGTCTGCATGTTTGTGGTCGTGGTTTAGATTTGAAGAATACCTGTTTACTGTTCGGAAAGTAGTGGTGAAATTATCTGTTCTTAACATATATGTAAATGACTTTACTGTCCTCTTAAGTGATGGAAATTCAGCCCTGTGTGTCTGCGTTTGGCCTTATCAGGAGATCCAGTGCAGAGCCGTGTGTAGCTTCTTTCCCTGCAACAGACTCACTTACACACAAAACACACCCCTCAACAACATCCACATTTACTCGCCCTCCCTGCCAGTATCAAACCACCCTCTGCACACACACACACACCTTGCCTCTTGGCCTGCTGTCCAGACAACTAACCCATTGTGTGTAGCAACAGGTATGCAGAGAAGAGTCTGTTTGAGTACATGCAACAAGAAACTTGGTGTGTGTGTGTGTGTGTGTGTATGTGTGTGTGTGTCTGTGAACAAGCTAAAAGGATACCTTGGCATTTTTTCCCCAAGTCTGTTTCATAATGATTCCAACATGAGCTTATGCACTTTACTTTTGTTTTGTAATCTCTGCAGCTCCTCTACGAAAGCACCTGAAGTTTAACTGTCTGTTAGGACAAACGTAGGGTTTGTCCTACGTCCCTTACATTAGAAACCGGTTATGCCACTGCTAATATGGACAAATACAGAAGACAAAGCATCATACATACGTTTGTGAACCTGTCTTATAACATGTCTCCGACCTCACTCGTTTAACCCGAAAGGGCGCAAGAGGAGGATTTAGGAAACAAGCAGTGAAATGAAGCACGATAACAGCATTAGTGTACGAGCAGGTTTGGGGGACAGAAGAGGGAAGGGAGGGAGGCGAGCAGGATAGGAGGAGAGGATGGAGGGTTCAGCGGTGTCACCGCACTGGGGGGGTGGAGGGGTTACTTGTGGGTCAAAGGTTGAACAGCACAAAGGCAGAGGGAGAGAGGGGAAAGGGGGGAAGAGGAGTGTTGATCCAGCCTTCGCAGTGAGTGGAAGTCACCTGTTTACACACTCGACAGTTCCGCCACGCTCACAGAAGGAAGGCAGTTGCACAATATCACATCTCAAAGGCACAGTCTAATTACAAAGAGGGGAAAAAAAGACTTTTTCACATTTAAATGTTGTGAAATCAGTCTACACAGACAGATAATCCGAGTTTTGAAATAACTGTCTCCTTATCGTGGTTGACAGCGTTCATGTGGTCAAAGAATGAAATATAAATGATCCCTTTGAACACTAATCTTCAGTGCTGTTCAGTGGAAGCACTACATATTATTAACTATATCTAGGAGGTGAACACAAGAGTACACAGTGTAAGAAGCTAAGTGGTGGTGGCTGGGGTAGATAGTGGAATTAAGAGTTTGGACAGTCTGACACTACGATTTATATTTGAAGTCCTACTTGCATGTTGATTTAGGCAAAAAAAGTATGGTTAATTAAAGTGGCAATAAAATCAATGCAGATATCTTTCAATTATAAAAAGTGTACCAATGCTGTAGTTGAGTTGAGAGTAAATAAACTGTCAGCAACCAGTGAACAGGTGACCTATCTAACTGTATTTTGGAGAAAGAATTTTTTTTAATTTAATGAAGACACAACTTGCATATTCTGCTACGTATCTACAGAGCAGATTTAACACATATGTATAATTCTGCTACTAGACTTCAGAGGTTTCAACTCCTGATAATGTGGTTTTTTCACACACAGCACAGCATTTTCCTCAAAATCTACTTCCGCAAACAGGATTAGTCCGTTAACTGTTCTGGACAGACATGTTGGTGCTGAATTTCTTAAGTAAAATAATCACCACAAACTGGTTGTTTGTGCTGTCTTTGCAGCACAGCAGGTTTCACCAGTACAAAACCACTCAGAAATAACTGAATGCGGAATCATTACATGGTAATAGTTCTCCAAGCTTTCATAAATATGTTTCAAGGAAATGATTTTATCCTCAAAAGTTCCTGCTTGAGAACATTTCAGATCTACAAAAGGGTTTGATTCACAGCTGAACATTTCTGATTGGTTTAGTAATTGAGGGATAACTTTTGTAGTAGCACAACAAGAGCTGCTCGCTTTTACCAAAAGAGAGACAATCTAGAGAATTTGTCGATCCTTTAGTTATTGATAAACAAGGCTGGAAAGAGCATGTTCATCATGGTAAATGTCAGAGGACACCTTGCAGAGTAGGTAGTTTAGCAGCGACTTGCTTTGTTGCTTGTAAAGTTGGCTGGCAGACTTTGCGTTATATCTGTCCATGCAGAATACATTTTTTTAGCTTTCTCTGGGTACTTAGCAAAAAAGAGCTCACACAGAAGGCTTATTTGTGCATCTCGCACCACTCTTTCAAGAAACAGTTGCCTTTGAGCTGACTGAACTGTGGTGATGATCTCTGCCTGGAGGTCAGAGAGCCATCAGAGGAAAGAAGGTAAAAGAAGAAGAGTGAGAACAATACAGAGACCTAGGGTTTTCTTGACCTGGTCATGGGCGTAGCCATCCTTGGATAAAGCTAAAGTTACAGGAAGTGCTTGGATGAAATATCCGATTTACATAATGGTTCATCTTTCACAGCAAAAATTCACTTTAAATCACCCAGTGATTATCTGTGAAGTTCCAGTTGTACAAACAGACCCTTTGACCATAGCATTTCACTCAATGCATAATCTATAACTGAAGAGTACATTTGTCGGCTTATCCACGTTTGTAACATCTGAACAGTTTGTTAAGCAACCGGACATCTGCTGACGTTACTTTTTATCCTGGCTGTGCGAAAACAGCCGTCATGTTACCGAAGATAAAATATAGATAAACAACAACGTGTCTGTGTCGTGTTTGTTGTCTGACAGTATGGTGATGTCCTAATCTCTGGATAAGGACAATCTCTGCGAGGTCCTGTGCTTGTGATGTTACTAAGTGCAACCCTGGTGTTCATCCAAGTGTAACTTTAAAGTGTGAAGGAGGTGTCTATCCAATCAGAATCCAGGATGGCTGGATTATAGATTTTGCTCCTGATTACAGCTAGCACCCATCGTCCTCTCAGTACAGATGCCGTTAGTTATGAAAATAATGTCCTGAGCTCTCGAGCATCACTGCCCAGGGTTGTAACGCTTTAGTGACTGTTGTCACTGTCTCATTATGGCTATCGCTAACGCCACACTGGTAAGAGCTGGTGTGGTTATCTACAAAGTTCACTTGTGGGTCATATAGTTTCTCTACTCCTTCCACTGCATAAATACAGAGTTGGTGAACCTGACAGTTAAGCTCAGTGTCTCTGTGCAGCTTTTGCTGTGTTTTGAAGGTGATCGTCTGTGGTCATGAAGCTATTTAATGCTTCAGTTTTGAAGCTAGCGGTCCTACGTTTCAGTGCCGACTTGAGTCGGGGGTTCCAGATTGAGTGAGTGAGGGGTTACTTTGATGCCCCCTAAGAGCCACATGAATGCTTGACTCATAGGTGTTACTTTCTCCAGTCGTCTCAATCAAAATATTCGACGGCCTCAGCTAAAAGCTCAAACACTTCAAAACAGTAACTCTAAAGTCCTTTCTGGTAAAAATGAGACTACTTTAGCATTACTAAGGATCTGTGCATGACACGCTACAGTTCTCTCAGATTAAGAGGCAGGAACTAAACAGCTGTTATCACTGTTTTAGCTTGGACGGGAGGCTGAAGGGTTTAACCCCTCATACCCCTTATTTGGAGGGATGAGCACAGATGAATGTGTTGTGCATCTCAGACTGAGAAGAGCCTGTAGCAGAACATTTTGCAGATAATAAATGGCTCATAGCAGAGAGATGGCAAGTCAGAGTTGTTACCGCTCTCCCTCAGTGGAGGATGAGGGGCTGATGTCATTGCTGCAGACAGAATTAGTCGGGAACTGTTCTCATCTTCTGAGGGGGGAGCGGGTTTAAACCTTTTGCTAAGGAAAGAGTAACAGGAGCAACAACAGCTGAAGGAGTTTGATGGGAGAAAACAGAACTAATGACACTCCATAGGGCTTTTCCAATATCCTACGTACACTTAACTGAAACAGAGCCGTAAGAAGAGTATGCTGTGGAGGACACCTCTGCCCAGAGGTTAAAAAAAAATAAAAGTTAAGAGCAGAAGAGGGAGGACAATAAGGGAGCTGGGGTTTTCTTGACCTGGTCAGAGGTTTAGTCCCAGTGATATCAAATCACAGCTACGGTTACAGGAAGTGATTAGAGGAGGGATCCAACCATTTACCTGGGTCGTGTTTCAAAGTAGTTTTTTTTTTTTAAATCAGCTAATTAGTTCAAGATTGATCTTCAGACTACATTTATGAGATTCAATGCTTTATGGAAAAATACACGCTCACTCTTACACCCTACAGCCAATTCAGAATCGGTGATTAACCCAACAGGCATGTGTTTGAACTGTGGGAGGAAGCCATGCAGGTGCAAGGTGCAGGGAGAACATGCAGACTCCACACAGAAAGACTCCCGGTGGATTCAAATCCAGGATTTTATTGCTGTGATGCGAGCCCTAACCACTGCACTAGCATGCTGCCATATCTTATAGATTTCACATAAATTTTAGAAATTTTACCAAATAAACGACTTTGTAGTTAACAAAAATAATAATTATATTTCATTAAATCTCAACAAGCCGTTTGCTAAAGCAGGGATGTTAAAGTCATTTTACATAAAGGGCCACATAAAGTTTAAGTGGGCCAAACGAGCGAAGCTCTCTCTTTCTGTCAGTGTAAAGAAGTTTAACATTAAATCCCTCAGATAAGAAAAAGTTTCAAGTTGCAGTTTCAACAGCTCATCTCACTTTTTCTACACAATAAAGAAATGTGCCTGTAGTAAATCAAAGACATCTGTCAGCCTGATTCATTCAG